GTTTCGACAAAATTTTAATTTTAGTGATTTAGAGCATAATTAATAATAAAACGATTAAACAGATATTTCATAAAAATTGTTCAAAATGTTCACCATTTTCACGTATACAAAGATTTATACGACGCAAAAAGTTGAAATGTACTCTTTGCATAACTTCTTCATCGCCTGTAAGATTATTCGTCGCCTGTTGGATACGTTGCCATGATTGTTCTACAGTATTCACAGGGGTCTTGTAAACCGTAGACTTGAGATAACCCCATACAAAATAATCCATCGGTGTTAAGTCTGGAGAACGTGGTGGCCAATTCACGGGTGCATCATTACCTCTACCTATCCATCTGTCTGGGTACTGTTGGTTTAAAAAATTCCTAACATCCACCGAAAAATGTGGTGGAGCTCCATCGTGCATAAACCACATATCTACCCGATGTTGGAGTGGTAAATCTTCCAACAAATTTGGCAACGTATTTCGTAGATGTTGTAAATACATGTCTCCTGTTAATCTTTGTGGAAGTATGACAGGACCAATTATAAAATTTCCTATTATTCCAGCCCAAACGTTGATTTTGAATTCGTGTTGAAAATGGTTTATTTTAATGGAATGAGGATTTTCAATTGCATAAACGTGTTCATTATGAAAATTAGTTATTCCTCTTCTCGTGAAACAGGCTTCATCAGTGAACAAAATATTCTTTCCAAAGTTCAGATTCATTTCTCTTTGCAAATTAATGAACCTACAAAACATCAGACGACTTTGTGAATCATGGATTAATAAATCTTGAACTGGCGTCTTGTGGTATGGGTATAATAATTGTTCTCTTAGTACTTCATGAACGGCATTCCTAGAAACTTCTAGTTCATTACTTATCCGTCTAGTACTCAATTCTGGATTTTCTTCAATACGGTCTAAAATTTCTACTTCGACTTCGGGAATCCTTACATAACGCTGTCTTCCATAATCACCAGTTCTAGGAGCAAAATGACCGGTCTCCCGAAGACGTCTCTCAACTGCAGCAAAGGTTGGGTGGCTTGGTACGCGACGATTTGGAAACCTTGCCGAATACACCCTCACACTCTCTCGACCATTTCCTTGACAATATCCGAATACCAATAACATATCGGTGTATTCTTCATTGGTGTATTGTACGGCCATGATAAATCAGAAAAGTCCGATATCAACAATCAACGTCACAGTGACGGCTCGTCAGGGACGGCAGGGTCGGCCGGGCCGTACCAAATAATTTGGGGAAAATTACTGAACTATTTGATGAATAAAATTATTTTCCGAAACTGTTTTCATAATTCATCGCTCATTATCCTACTGTTATGCCACTATTATTTGAATTTCATTCATGGAACTTTTGAGTATGCCATCCACATATACACCGAAAATCACGAACTAATTCAGGACCTACGACATCTGGTAATCCCATCGTCAAAACGCCGCTTTCAGTTGAACCGCTCGCGTAGCTCATTACACTGATGCAGACGGCCGGCCGATCGGTGATTTCTTGTCTCGACGCATCGCCACAGGCATCGCCTACAGATTCCCCGCTTCAAGTTTAAATTTTCGCTTATACGCGTCATACCTTGGGTGCGGCCAAGCTCTGCTGGCCGTCCAACGTATCGATCGTACTTATCAGTATCAGTTGTTTGCAGTGCGCTCGCTGTGCACCGTATCGAACCATTCCGAATCCGACCTAATTTTTAATATACGGATTGGCATGATTGATATTCTATTTTCATTTTACATTGTAGGTATTTATAATTTTAATTCCTATACTTATTTGTAAGTTGATGTTGGAATTTGAAATGTACAAAACAAACTGAAAAGAAAAATAATTTCCATGTTTTTGTTTACGCTTGCAGTAGTTGCAGTAAAAATGACTGGTGATTTTTGAATTTGCAATTTTTCAGTAATTCATAATTCAACATATCCATCTAATATTGGTATCAGAATTTTCCTTCAGTGCTTCTGAGCGTCAATAAGTTATAATTCAATTTGAATATTGCTGTAATGTAACCTACTGTGCCTCTGCCTATGTAGGTAATATGGCAAGAAAAATGTCAGCAGTCCAAGAGCTGAGTAGGTATTGAAACATCGTAAAAAAGCTCTGGTGACGAAAATGTAATAAATGTATAACTTCCAGAATATCATTTATTTTCAAAGACGCATGTATCGGTTATAAACTACCTAAATAATATTTATGCATCCATCGCATCGCGGGAAACATTATACCTACGGCTGCACCCTGCACGCGGGCTCGGCCAGCCGACTACGAAGGAGTGGGGTCAGTGGGGTGGCTTGTTACAGGAACGGCGTAGACCGATTAGTCATTGTTGTGCTTCTCGCGTTAGGTGAGTGGTTGTCGGTTATGTTGATTTTTTTGAGTTTACATTACGTTTTCAACAGAATAAAAATATTTTTTGTTCACGAGTTATTTTATTTTTATTTTCTTTCATTTTATTTTTTCGACTTTCTTGTTATTATTTTTTCATACCAACTAACCCTTATCCACCTCCTTTTTCTTTCCCCATTTCCCCTGGCGAGAATGCTCTAACCTCGTGGTTCTTGCTGGACAATTTAATTTTTTGGTTATGTGTACAGGGTGATTCACCATAAATGTCCCCCCCTCTAGCTCAATTATTTTTAAACCGATTTCAAAATTTGAAATATCATCTTGAATGATTTTTGATTGAGTTTTTTTCCGCTACATCAGAAAATACAGGGTGCTCAGAACAAACGATCTACAGGGTACCATTTGATTTTTTTATATGGAACACCCTATTTTTCATTGTATTTTTAGATTCTCCCTGAAAAGCTGATTTGCTCAATGCATCATACTTGGGGTCTATCGGGAATGATTACAGAGATATAGGGTGTTCAAAATCGAGATTTTTCAACTTTAGGATTTTTTTGAGACGAAACTATTCATCATCGGTCAAAACGGCTTTCATGTCCATATCTCAACTTTTGATTTACAATCTACTGACATTTAATAATTGGAACAGATACAGGGTGATCAGAATTCTGAATCTTGAACCACCCTGTGAATGTTCCAATCAAATCTCAATAGACAGTTAATCAAAAATTAAGATGGAAACATAGGAGCCGTTTCGACCAATAATGAATAGTTTCGAGACAAAAAAATCCTAAACTTGAAAAATCTCGATTTTGAACACCCTATATCTCTGTTATCATTCCCGCTAGACCCCAAGTGTGATGCATTGATGAAATCAGCTCTTCAGGAAGAATCTAAAAATACAATGAAATACAGGGTGTTCGATTTGGAAAAATCGAGTAGTACCCTGTAGATCATTTGTTCCGAGCACCCTGTATTTCCTGATGCAACGGGAAAAAAATTCTGAGAAATCATTTTAGATCATCCTTCAAATTTTTAAATCGGGTCAAAAATAAGTGAGCTAGAGGGAGAAAGGACAATTATGGTGAATCACCCTGTACATGCTTATTTGCCATCGAACTTCACTCAAGCCGCTGACCCACTTACGTTCGCATTTTAGAGCAATATCTATACCCTGGCCGACCCAGGTTCTGAGGGCACGAGCCGTCACTGCAACGTCAATAAAACTCGACAAATCAACACAGATGAAACTATGGAAACCAAGAATGTGAATATCACTGTTTTCGAGCAGATAATAATAGTCTTCAGAAAAAAAAAAAACCAGTGCTACTTATTTTCAATAGAAATAACCTATGCAAAAAGTACGTGAAAATGGTGAACATTTTGAACAATTTTTATGGAATATCTGTTAATCGTTTTATTATTGATTATGCTCTTAATCACTGAAATTAAAATTTTGTCGAAACCATTCGACCATTTGTCAAGAGTACCTTTTTTGTAGTGAATGAGTTGAACAATCTAGATTTCATATTGAAACTAACTTTTTCCATTGGCGTAGGAGTTTTAGATGTTTATTTACTGAAAAAAGCAAGTTCTACGCCCATGGAATGATATTCATTATGATTAGGATTTCGACTTTTTGCGTCGTATAAATCTTTGTTCACGCGAAAATAGTGAACATTTTGGAAAACTTTCATGCAATATCTATCAATCGTTTTATTATTTAAATATGCGCGAAATCACTAAAACTTAAATATTGTCGAAACCATCAGAGTAATCGAATTTTATCAAGAGTACCTTTTTTGTAGTGAATGATTTGGGCTATCTAGATGTCATACTGAAACTGATTTTTTTTTATTGGCGTAGAAGTTTTAGATGTTTATTTCCTGAAAAAATCAAGTTCTACGCCCATGGAATGATATTCATTATGATTATGATATGAGTTTCATTGCCCGATGAGTCTATGCCAACGTACCAAATTTGAAAAAAATCTCATGAGCCGTTCCAAAGTTATGAAGCAAAATCGATTTGAAAATTTCAACTTCAGAGCCGTCTAGCGCCCAAACTAAGCAACTTTTTACTGAGGTAAGTTTGCTTGTATCGAATTGTTTTGGTCTGAAGAATATGTGGTAGCTTTTTGTAAAGACCTTTTAAGGACACCCTGTATATTTACTCATATTTTCATCAATTTTGAATGAACTTATTATGGGGACTTACATTATTTTTTATTATCTTCATTATCATAGGCTCACATGATGATCATTTCAATCTGTTATTCATTATTACAAATATATGTGAGTTCTGTAAGTATCAAAAGGTATTATTCGAATTTGAAATATAGAAAGTTGTATTCATGAAATATCAGAACTGGACATCAGATGGTGATAATTTGATAATGAAATTGAAATAACTAATACTCAATGAATGAATTTTTACTAAAAAATCACACAAGAAAGTATATTGAATGCTGAGCTGGAAATTCTCTGATGTTATATCTCCAAGATCACATAGAAACTTCAAATTTTGAATACAATAAGCACAGGAGCTTTATATGTACATGAAAAATAATAGCAATAATAAATACATCTTTAGGGAAATATGATTCAAGCAATATTAAAAAAAAATTGGTGAACTTACCAATAGTATGATGTTCTTAATAATCCATACACTCAGCATCAATTGAAAATGTCAAAAGAGCATAATTTCTTAATTTCATTTGTTTCAAGTGAAAGTCAAGCAGCCATGTTTTCCAAAGGTTGCCAAATTTGAAAAGTTATAGTTTGCTCATGGTTAATATCTATCTCTATAATTCATTAGGAACAAAAAAAATTGTCATTCCAGTAGGTATTTTGCTGAATCTTAAGCATAGTTATGAATATAATATCCAGAAAAATCCATACATGTTTATTATTAAATTTCATATTATAATTCATCATCAGATATATGCTCACTAAAATCAAAAACACTGAAATTAATGTCTTCCTTATATTTATTACACTGTTCTGGAATGCTCAAAAACCTTCTAATTTTTTGCCTTATCTGCTTCCATGTTTCTTGATTATAATTTTTTTTGTCTCGCTCCATAGCTTTGAAATCATTCCCATACTTATTCATTAAATAAGTTACCCACTCAACTATGCTATTAGGAAGCCTTATTTTTCTTTGTCTTGGAGCTTTAGCCTCTTCTTCTAGAATTGTAACTACTTGTTTTTTATCTGGTCTTGTAGGCATGTCCATTTCTTCTATCTGTGTTTCATTCCACTCTCCTTTGTTAGACTTCAAGAAGGCTTTCAATTCAGTTTTTGACTTTGGGATTTTGATAGTTTTATTAGGGTCATATGACAAACCCATTTCTATCAGATTTGTTTCAATAGATTTTTTATTCTCCCACGCATTTTTAACTTCCTTACTGAAAATCAAAATAAAAATATGTACACACACTTTTTGAAATGGTTGAAAAAAGAGTAATAATAAATTGAATTGAATACATACCACCCAATATTTCCTACCCCAAATATTTTATTTCTCATTCTTTTTCTATTCACATTGTGTCTAAACACTTTCCTTCGCCTTTGTTTACGTAGTTTGGTCATCTTTGCGAAAAAAATTCCCCGGGCTCAGCAGGTTCAAATTTTTGGGCTTTTCTAGTTTTTCACATGGGTTTTAGGTTAAGCAACTTCTCTTCTTCTTCTTCTCTTCACTTTGAAAGCAACTACCTTTAAGCTCAAGAACATTTAGCAAGACTACTTCTACTCACATCAGTCACATAATATATCGTGCAAATGATGGAAGACTGATATCGTGCACATATCTATTTGAAGTTAAGCCCAGAGAAATGAGGGCTAACATTAACATTCTCAATCTGAAATAGAATCTCCCAGGGAGTTGGCGACTACTACTAAAACGCGAGGTCAATATGGAGTCAAATATCCCAAAATTTTGCCGGATAGATCTAAAGCCTGTGGCCTGTTCCATCGAAAATAATATAAGTCGCGTAGAGTTCATAATCCTCAAGGTCTATTAACTTCTATAAGGTTGCCTCATAATAGTATAGCATTATGGTGCGGGGGTGCGCGGAGGGGCGTGACGTCACTGTTTCCCCGCCACGTGATTGTAGATTTCGTTTGTGTCACTGTCAAATGTATTGAAAAAATTTTTGAATTTGAATTCGAAAGAATCGGGAATTTTAGACTTTAGTAGAAAACATGGTGACAAGAAGACTGAATATATCTTAGGAAGAGGATGAGAGGTTGTATAATAATATGGTGTAGTATTATTCAAGGCTGGTCACATCATAATATTATGTGTGGAGTCAAGAGTGGATATAGAACAAACAAATGTTATAAAATGCCTGTGTTTACAATCATCTGCTCTTGGGCAGCCTCCACATGAGATTCAGATAATCTCAAAGGAAAATGATAGGCTGTGGCAATGTGAATGTCCCTGTGAAGCAGGCATGTCATGGTTTTGTAAACAAATTTTATAGGGACATATTGACTGGTAGGAAGGTGCACTTTTGATCTATCACACACACAGGTACAAAATACATGAAATTTCAGGAATGAAGATTGAAGACTTGTAATATGTGAAGCTGCATATATAACACACAGAAGTGGTGAAAATATAAAAAGAGAGTAGATCAATCATCAATGATCTATTATACAGCAAAACCATTTCAATAGTTCTGCTACCCGCATTATTAAAAGAAGGAAAGTGACCCCCTAAAATCATTTTCCTTTTATATAATTCAAGTTGATTTTACAGGGTATATCAGTCTATTTTGTTTTTTGTTTGGAAGCCAATGAACTCAATGTAAACAACTAGCTATTGCATGGTACTCAGGAACACTGGTGAGTTTATTGAATTTTAACATACCATATCATGAAAACTGGATACTTACATTAATTTTTGACTATACTTGCTACTCCATTTTTACATGTAGCAAGGAGTCTTGGGAAAAAAGGCAATCAACTTCTATTCTTTCCAAAGGATTTTTCAAATGAATTTGTTCAGAATGGAGTTGAATATGAATCCAAAGCTCTCTCAAAATTTTCATTGAAAATGATATTGAATTTCAAATCATGGAAACAAATTTGTGTCCCAATATTTTCCATGGTTAGAATTTTCTCCATATGAAATTATTTTTCAGGAAGGAAGACCATGGAAATAATTGAAATAAGTGTCCTTACTGAGGTCCTTACATAGAGGTTTGTTAAATAATGTGTATAACATTCAGCTTGAATTATTTTCTCAAAATTTTAGGTAAAGTTTCAGAACATTTTGTGGAACAATGCCATTTCTTGATAGTAGATGGTATAAAAAATGTGAAGATGGAAGAGAGACACACTTATTATGGATAAATTCAGTTGGGAATAATGGCCCTAAAATGTCCCTAATGAACTTGAAAGGAACTAATTTTCTTGTATAATTCTTCCTCCAAAACTTACATAGAGATTCCAGTTAATTTTATGAAACATTTTGTGTTAATCTTATGAGGAAGATATCTCAAAGATATTTCCATTATGTTGCACTTTTATTGCATTAATAAAATGGAATGAATTGTGATGACTTCTTTATTGATTCATTTTCAAACAATAATATGTTCCAAATTGATACTGAAATAAAACCATTGAGTTAGAATCATTCAATTTATCCAGAAAGAAATCCTCTTTAGTTAATTGTTTCTTGTTTCTCAGAAATGATGGCCTAATCAATTTCAAGATATTTCTTCACATCCCTTGTAAGCATGCCCTCATCCACCATGCTTCCATCATTAGGTTCAGACTTCCCAATAACATTTTCTTTATTAAAAAATGCTTTATCAGTAGCTCAACCTCCATATCACTAAATGCCAACAGTAATCAGTCCTAATTTGTTTTGTTCTAAAATTTGTTCTATCCGTCATTCGGTTGCCCCCTTACGAGCAACCCTCAAAAGTCTTCGAAAGTCTTGTGCGAGCAAGGAATGACGGGGGCCTTACCTTTTAACGTGTGATCCCAAACACTTTCTTGGGCCATCAGAAAAATTTCTGCAGTCGACGGGGATCGAACCCACGACCGGCAAGCGAATGCGAATTAGAATATAGACACTCTGTCCGCACGGCTACCTGGCCACCTCATGGAGTGGTATTGCAATAAGAATTTGACTGAGTTTCTCTAATGTGTCTGTACAACAGGAGCACTGAGGAACATAACATATCTTTCTAGATTTCTCTTGTTTTCAGTCTTTTGTACTTGCTGCATGTTTTGGGAAAACAGTGAACTATCTCGTGGATACAAAAACATATTGGAAAACTCCAAAATTTATCAAAATTCACTGGATTGCACAATGCTAAATTTATTTGTTTTGTTTATTACCTCCGCCATTTTCATTTTGCCGTTCGACAAAAGACGACTGGGGAAACAGTGACGTCAGGCCAGGTGAATATGAGGCAACCTTATAGCAATAACTCTATAAGCAAAATAGCCTTGCATAATCCTTGGGTCGCGTGCACGATGACCGACCCTGGAGGCAAAATATGGAAACACAACCCCACTCTTCTGTGAATTATTGAAACACAACCTCACTTTTTTACTTGGTTACAGCGGAATCAAAGGATTGAAATAGTTTTTCACAATATTTTGGCATACGAATCGTGTTTTTTGCGTTATTCATTAATTCGAGCATGCCTTCGCATTGTGCTGTTGTACAATGCACAAAAAATGCAATAAGAGACTGAAGAATATGATTTTTCAGGTAAATAGTAATCTCACATAGTAATCATTATGAAATGTTGTCATTCCTTATTAAAATTCCTTCTGCCTTCTGTCACTTCTGCAATACAAGCTAATACTGCTAATAGATTGAAATGAAAATGTCTACAACACACACGCGATCGTCAGCATGTCAGACCAGTCCTCCCGATTGATTGTATGAATCCAATTTTCTTGCATTATTTCAGAAATTTCAGGTGTATTTCTATTAGCTCCTATCGCAGAAGGAATTCCGATGAGAAATCAGAGAAATTACCAAATTTCAAAAATAAAAACTATATGTGAGTGACTATAGTAGGTACTTACTTTTAAATCATATTGTACTTACCAACCGGATTACTTCGTCTTCCGCTGCAGTTTTTGTGCATTTCACAACAGCATAATGTGATGGCATGAGCGAATTGATGAATAGCGGAAAAATACGATTTGTATGCCAAAATAATTGTGAAAAACTATTGGGATTTTAACCTTCATTTTCCCGCGCTGTCATTCCGTCAAAAATGATATGTTTTTGACGTCAAAAGTGTGATATGCCAAAATATTAATTTGGCCAGAACGACTCGGAAGATATGTTTCTACCATATTCGGTTGTATAAACAAATAATCATGATATTCAGGGTCGGTTTATCAATTGCCAATATTATCCATCAGTTAGTTATCCGTCAGATAAAAATATCTAGCAGATAAACTTCCAGTTTGTTTGGAAGTGGTTTATCAACTCATTTTTATTCTCCAGTTAATCAACTGCCAGATAATGAAAGTTGGCAATGCTGATGAATAAATGTAAGCAATCTCATTGGTTGTTACAAGAACAAGGTCATGCCACATCACGACCGATCACGAGTAGTCACGACCGTTTTGTTAGGTTATTGTTGATTTCGAGGTTTTCTGTTTTATGAGTTTTTGGTTGTTGATAAATATGAATTTTTTGGTTGCCCCATCTGTTTTTTTATTTTCAATCACACGTTTGTATAAAATCGCTATTTTAATCAGCAAATTTTTCTCCTCTGCTGTGAAATTGCATCCTCTTTTCTTTGTAGAACTACTAGTACTCTCCATTTTTAACTTTTTTGTCACACCAGAAAGCTAGGAAATCAAAACAACTCAATAAAGTGAGGTTATGTATAAGCATTAACCTCCAGATATCGACTATCCGCCAGTTAAAACTTACAGATAAATATTTGACATTTTAACTGCCGGATAAAGTTACCCTGGTGTAGATAAACCGACCTTCCCAAAAAAACTGGTAGTTAAGCTTTAACTGACAGATAAATTGTAATTGATAAACCGGCCCTCAGTCACATAATTGAATGAACAATTATTATAACCTTCAATACTACTACCAAATAATCACACTTGATGATCACGTGATATATGCCGTCAGATGGCACATTGCTTAGCATTAAAACACAATTTCGATCACTTGTAAACAAATAAGAAAAGTGACGTTGTGTTTCAATGCTTTGCCTCCAGCGTCGGTCATCTGACAGTTCTTGCACGCAACCCATTCGGAATGTCCGAAATAACCTAAATAACCAGTGGCACACCAAACATATTTTTCAACGGTTATTTGGGTATAGTTTCGTAAATTTTATCAAGTGCCTCACGACACTAGCATCTCGGGGCAGGATTTTAAGAAGGTGTTTTCCCAATTCTGACAGGATATGAATATCGCATTTATATTATTGATTATTTTTTGTTAAGTATTCATAAAATGAAATTCTTCGAAGGGGACTCGATACTCAATCAAAACATCATTGAATCAGTGAATCACTATTCACTATCGGCTACATTCAATGATGGTGGAAATAAGTAAAATCATTTACTCATTCACCGTCAGAGCAGAATGAAGTCGACACCTACGGTCCTAGCCCGAGACGGACGTCTCACGACAACAAGCGTCTAGCTCGAATCTTTCAAACCTCAAGGTTATCAGAAGGTTATTAAGATGTGATAATATGAGGAAGGGA